ATATATATATATATATATATATATACACACACACACAGATAATTTCAAATGTTTGAGGTGGGAAAAGATTTTTAATGTTTTTGAAAAAAGTTTGAAGCAAAATACTGTAAAAACGGTAATACTGCGGTATTTATTATGAAATTCTGTTTAAAATAACCATTTTCTACTTTAATATATTGTATTAGAAACAAAAATCTCTTTCAACATTATAAATGTCTTTACACGTTTGACCAATTTAATGTGTCCTTGTTTGAGTGCCACTGCACACAATATAATTTTGTATGGGAAAGTCCCAATGTCTCAAAGTCTCAAATGTCTTTTTGTGTGCTCATGAACAAAATGAAGGAATGAGCGTGAGTAAGTGATGATGATGTCAAAGTGAACCATTCCGTTTAAGGACAGTGTGTTTACCTGAAGTGGGGTTGTACCCAGTTCATGGCCTGCTCGTCCTTGTGCAATCTTTGAGAGGTCATTCACCAGCCTCTCGAAAATATTAGCAGCATTCAGGTCACAATCATAATTAACATAGATATCTACCAAAAAAAAAAAAAAAGAAATTTCTTGAAAAACTTTCAAACTTCAAAAAGAACAAAAACGCATCATGAAAGTAGTTCATATGAGATTCCTGTGCCTGAAGTTCAATTCAAATTCTTTTGAATATTTCTAAACATTTACATTTGCAAATATATATAGACAGTGCTGGGAAGTAACGGATTACATGTAATCTGGAGTACATAATCAGATTCCAAAAATGATCAAATTAGATTATATTACATTTTAAAGTACTCAATCAGATTACAGTTACTTTTTTATGGATAACATGATTACATATTATTCACACAATGACAGTAAATTATTCATGTGTTGATTTGTCCTAATTCTCCTTTTTTCTCTCTTAAATGTTCCTTTCTAAATAAATCTTCCAGTTTTATGGAACTGCACACACAGCCACTAGTCAGGTGACTATAATTACACAAAAAAAAGGAAAGTCCACCCAACTTGTTTAATTAGTCATTTTTATGATTTAATTAAGCTTTATGATTAATTAGCTTTTCATCAACTCACAAACCCTCTGAAGTTCATTCAAGAAGCCCAGTTTGGGAAACATGGTGTAAAGTAATGTTTAATGCACTTCATGATGTTGATAAATAAAGTCATGAAAATGTAGTCAGAATACATTACGTAATATGTGTTATCCAACAGATTACATTACTAACTACAATTTTCACTATGTAATTTGTAATCAGTAATGGACTACAATTCATAAGTAATCTACCCAGCACTGTGTATATATATATATACTGTATATACACAATGCTGGGTAGTAACTGATTACTGATTACATGTAATCTGGATTACATAATCAGATTCCAAAAATGAAGTACTTGTAATTAGATTAAATTACATTTTACACAATCATAATTAACATAGATATCTACCACACTCTGGGCATCTGTGAGAGTAGAAATATCATAGAATTGCTTATAGAAACACTCTCATATATATATTTGAACGTCAGATGGAAAAAGAAAGTCTTTCATACCAGCACATATTCTAGTGAGGGTTTGAATGACCATCCACTTATGGTCATACGAGCTTGTGGACGTTTCCAGAATATAAAGAAAAATCTCTTTGAAAAACACCTGAGGAGAGAAAAACAGAAATACAGTCAAGTTTTTCACCTCATAAATTCATAACCAAGTCAGTAATAGAACAATAATAACGTTTCAACAATATATAGTGTTGTTAAGATGTGTAACCTGATCGATTTGAGAAATATCACTACACAAGACTGTGCACAATAAATCCTAACATACTCGACTGGAATGAGGCACACACACACAAACAGATAGACTGAGGCAGAATTACAAGCTTTCATCTTAAACCACAGCTTCAATAAATCCACACTGTCAGCTAGACGCTCCACAGACTGACGCCATCAGGGCAAGACACACCAACACATTACGATTCGGGGGGGGGGGGGGGGATGGACAGCGACAGCTCGAACACCTCGGGGACAGAGGAGACGCCGTTTTTAGACAGCGCTACACACAGGTACTGCTTGATGGCGTTGATGAACATCTCGTTAGTTTTGAAGATGGGCCCAGCGTTCTGCAGGATGGACAGAAGGAGCTGCAGCGAGAGGACCTTGGACCGCAGCTCATGGGATCTGCAGGAAGATGAGGAATCTTAGGTGAATAAAACAATATTCACTCCTCATTCATTATCAAATACTCATGCCAAACTAGACTTAATAAAGAAGAATCAGTTAAAGGGATAGTTCACCCAAAAATGAAAATTCTGTCATCATTTACTCACCCTCATGTCGTT